TATTCTGCACAGAACCCAGAACCCACGCAAACAAATTCCACAGGGTTAGAGCACCTAACCACCGGATTTAACTCCATCCTTATCTTGATGCTCATATGCCCATGTGCCTGTCTGTGTCCATATGGCCCGCTTGGTAAGGCAACTGTCTTGCTCAACTCAGGAGTGACCTCATTCGAGCTAATTACATTCACAATCATTTCCAAAAAGGGACCGAGTGCTTTTTGGAAATGAGCACAATCATAAAAAAAAAAAAAGAGCAGGTACTGGGAGGTTAGAACTTAAACACAGGAATTCCTGAAACACAATTCAATGCACAATGAATTCCCTTCCCACAATAAAATTACCATTTCCGCCACCTTTAAGATCAAGACTGAAGCTGTCTGTTGCTACCTGTAATCCAAGCTAACTCAGATCCGAGGATCACAGTTCATTTTTTTTTGGGGGGGGGGTCGGTCATGGGGCTTGAACTCTGGGCCTGGGCGCTGTCCCTCAGCTCTTCAGCTCAAGGCTAGCACTCTACATAGAGCCACAGCGCCACTTCTGGCTTTTTCTGTTTATGTGGTGCTGAGGAATCAAACCCAGGGCCTCATGCATGCAAGGCAAGCACTCTACCACGGAGCCACCTTCCCAGCCCCCGAGGATCACAGTTCAAAGCCAGCCCAAGCAGGAAAGTTTGTGAGACTGTTATCTCCAATTAGCCAGAAGTGGAGCCCTGGCTCAAGTGGTAGAAAACCAGCTTTGAGCCAAAATGCTAAAAGAATAGCATCTAGGTCAGCACACATAGACACACAGGGAGAGGAAGGGGTACAAACTCTGAAAGAGAGGTACAAACTCTCAGATTAAACAAGTTTCCTGGGGACCCACATGGGGGTGTGTTCAGAGGGAATACAAGAAATGCTTCCTGTGTTTTGTATTTGGTCAAGACTACTGTTTGTAAAGACAGAGATGCAGCTCAGGACCCTGTGGTCCTGGGCCACACAAGCCCTTGGATTCCAGCGCATCAAGTGGTACCAGAAAGGAGGAAGCAGACGGCCATGCTCCAGTGATACCACCCAGAGGACACAGCGCCTCCTGAGGTGCCTTGTAGGAACTGCACCTGAGACTGGGTGCCAGGGCCCACCAAGTACCTATGGCCACCCCACCACCCCCAGTAAAACACCAGCCTGCCTGCAAGATCAGGAGCTTTCCGAAGCAAGCCACACAGTTGATACGAGTGGGGAAAAGGAATGAAGCTACCTGCTCTAAGCAGATAAGTTCAGATGGATACGTTCAGGATTCTGCACCCTGCAGAATCGTTTTGGGTCCCTGAGAAAGTAACACACTCCAGCTCCAGTCAGCTGTAGTTCTCCATGGGTGACACTAGAGGGCAGGCCATGAAAACGTTCCTGTCCCAAATCAGGGGCTCCTCAAATCAGGGCCCTCCAAGCACTGTCTTGTTTGCAAGCTACTGTTTCTTTCCAGAGTCCATTTACACGGTGGAAAGCCAGCAAAAGAAGAAGGGTAGCCTTCTTCGCCTTGACCTTAGTTGGGGTTTCCAGAACACAAAGCACTGGCCAGGGCACTGGGCGTTTCATTTGGGTTAATAGATACCCGGGGGAGCTAATTATTACTGTCATTGGTGTCAGGTTCACAAGAGATCTACCCAACACGAGCACTCCAGAGGTGGGTGTGATTCGTTCCTCAAATTAGAAAAGTCCTTGAAACTGCAGTTTTATAAATTATTTGTAGCAACCTCCCCCAGTCCCTACCAAAGGACGGGAGGGAAGAAGGGAGGGAGGGAGGGAGGGAGGGAGGGAGGAAGGAAGAGAGGAAGGAGGGAGGGAAGGAGGGAAGGAAGGAAGGAAGGGAGAGAGGAAAAGAAAAAGGCTAGGGTGAGTGTAATGATTGTAAAGCAGGCTTGACCCCGGGTTAGTCTGGCTTGTCTTTCTGGCTTCACGACCCAAGTCTGTTGTCTTCTGGCTGGTTTTTGTCACATGTAGATTTTCCACAGTTGGATCCTGCCTTGATGAAGCGAGCAGTGCTGTGTGCTCAAGGTCGCTCGGCCTGCTGGGAGTAGCTTGGAGAAGGAGCCCCAGCACCCGCTGCACAGGCTGCACAGGCTGGCCGGGAAAGGACAGGCCAGGGTTTATGGAGAGACTCCCACTCCTTGGAGGTCTGAACAGGATTTCCCTGGAGAAGGAGCGCGGGGTGGAACAAATGACAAAGATGGCTGGGGAGGGCCACCCAGGTCACTGGGCTCTGGTTCTCATTGTTCAGCCCGCTGGCTTCCCAGGGCCCAGGTCCAAGGGAGCCGGAAACAGGCCCTGAGAGAAGCTCCCCAGAACTTCTCAGCGATCCTGTCCCTGCCCACACCAACACCCGCCAGGAATGATCAAATGTTCTGCATAATGAGCAAAAGCCAAGAGACGTGTTCAAGAGCTTAAGGGGGGGGGTGGCGGGGGAGGGGAGGGGGGGAAGGGGGGGAGGCCAGTGGCAGGAAGAGAACTGAAAAGTCTGGGTTTATTCCCTGTGAAAAGAAAGAGGAGGACTTTTCCAAGTACTTTGGGATGCACTGTGACTTTTTAATGACTCAATTCCCGCTGGAAAGCACCTCACATTTCTATATTATGGAATAATCCATGGAGCAACAGAAATAAAAAGAAATGTAGTCGCCTCCTCCCCCTGAAGTCTACCAAGCTACACAGTGAAGAAACGTACCCCGAGTTTTGAGTTCTTTTTGTCTTTAGAGCCATAATCTTTCCTGTTGGCCAGTCCTTAAAGGCTAAAGAGAGTCAATGACCTCATGGAGATACTAAGTCTTTGTTTTACATATTTTATATATATTTGATAATAAGTTTTATCTTCAATCCCCCATGATCAGTTTCCTCAAAAATCTAAACAATTCTTTGTGTTAAATAGGCAGGGAGGCCAGGCACTGGTGGCTCACGCCTGTAATCCTAGCTACTCAGGAGGCTGAGCTATGAGGATTGTGGTTGGAAGGCAACCCGGACAGGAAAGTCTGTGAGACTCTCATCTAAAATTAACCACTCAAAAATCAGTACTAGTGGCTCAAAGTAGTCGAATGCTAGTCTTGAGCAAAGAGCTCAGGGACAGAACCCAGGCCCTGAGTTCAAGCCCCACAACCACACACACACACACACACACACACACACACACAGTAGGCAGAGAAATAAGACAAAATGTTTCTCAAACAACAAACACTGGGACATACTGTCAGGATCGGAGAACACGGCTTATTTCTCTTTGATCCTTTGCAAAGTATTGAGAAGTGATTATGAAGTGATACTTCATAACTGAAAGGCATTAAGTTGGTACTTTTCAAATGGGTCAAAATTCCTGCTTCAAGGAACTTTGAATGACTGGTTTTTAAATTTCTTTTTCTTCTTTCTTTTCTGGAGGGGCTGGTTCTGGGGCTTGAACTTGATACTGTCCCTTAGCTCTTTCGCTCAGAGCTAGTGTTCTACTACTTGAGCCACAGTTACCTCTTCTAGCTTTTTTGCGGGAAATTTAGTTGGAGAGAGGGATCTCATACACTTTCCTGCCTGGGCAGACTTTGAACCATCATTGTCAGATTTCAGCCTCCAGAGTAGCTAGAATTACAGGTGTAAGCCTACCAGCACCTGGCTTTGAGCAACTGTTTTCTTACTTTATTAATTATTTTTTGTCAGTCATGGGGTCTGAACTTGGCCTGGGCACTGTCCCTCAGCTCTTCAGCTCAAGGCTAGTGCTCTACCACTTGAGCCACAGTGCCACTTCTGGCTTTTTCTGGAATCGAACCCAGGGCTTCATGCATGCAAGGCAAGCGCTCTACCATTGAGCCACCTTCCAGGCCCCACCTTAAAAAAAAAAGTAAACATAATCTGTCCATGGAAGCTTCAGAGAAAAAAAAAAGCCTCTTGCTCCAGGCTGCCACTCTAGCACTGCAAAAGGCAAAGCTGGGAATGTTTTACGTGGCTCTCAGGTGTCTGTAACCAGTGGGAGATAATCTTGGGGACAGAGCTCTCAGACAATAGGGTCTCTCTAATCAGCCTCACATTTCCCTCCACCACAAGGGTTTACCTCTCCTTCTCCAAACTCAGAGGAAGGAATCAAAGCAGTACTTTCTCAAATCAAAGCCTGCTTTCCAGGACCACTTGGTCAGAAATGCAAATATTCCAGCCCTATCTCAATCTACATTACAAATCTTGGGGTAAGGCAGGTGCCAGTAGCTCATGCCTGTAATGCCAGCTACTCTGCAGGATTGGAGTTTGAAGCCAAACCCAGTCACAAAAGTCTATAAGATTCTCATCTCCAATTGTCCAGCAAAAAGCTGGGAGTGGAGGTGTGGCTCAAGTGATAGTACACCAGCCTTGAGCAAAAAAGCCAATCAAGAGCTTGAGGTCCTGAGTTCAAGTCTCACTACTGGAATAGAAAAGGGGAAAATAAAATTCCTGGGGAGGGGAAAATGCCATCCTGTGAGTTGGTAGGACAGTAGAAAAGCACCGAATTAGGGAACTGCACAACGTTCAGAGAGAAATAAGGACAACGACTCCACGTAAGGTAGAACCAAGTTTATTAATGACAGCCTTTGATACAATCACTCTCAAGTGTAAAAAATAAAGGGCCATTAATTGGGAATTTAAAATTCACTGGGACTTGCCAATGTGTGGCCTTTCACTGGATATGCCGAAGGGTGGGGATCTTGCCTGATTCCGAATCAACTGGTCAGATGGCGTTCACTGGAGAATGAGGTAATTAAAAAAAAAACAAAAAACCAAAGTGCCAATGGGTCACGAGGGAAGGACATCACATGACCACAGGTGTGGTAAGGGCAGGGATGGAATAAGACAGTGGGAAATCCAAGGGATGGGACGACCATCTATCTCTAGGTACACAGAGACAAAACACACACATGCAGAGTCACACACACACACACACACACACACACACACACACACACACACA